GATGGTTTGGCAGTTTTGCGAATGCCTCCAGAAAGGAAGGTTAAGCAACTCTTTGTTGCGAAACCGACCGGCGGAAGACCCCAAGGACAGCCAAAATTAACCTGGTACAAATATATGGAAGGAATGTGTTCCAGACTCCAGTTGTGTTCTGCCGAAGCTCAGACTCTGGCACAGCATCGGGATCGATGGAAGCTCTGTCTGACTCTTCTGCCTTTGCGACCCGGAGAAGCGGCCACGGAAGATGACGAAAGAGGAATTCTATAGGGTGACGCAAAATCACCAGTTAATTCACAGCAACCACTGGCACTCATGACGTTTCATTGTGAAACTTAGAGGCTGATGATAAATCAGAAGTATTCGAACCACCTAAAGCTTGAGAACGTATTCTGATGTTGCTAAGGTCACTAGAAGAACGCCAAAAAATAATCTCGACGTTGAACGACGCAAGTACCAATGCAGAACCGAAAAGGAAGCTGAAAGGCCAATCATATTTAGCAAATACATCTCCTTGCGACATACTGAAGTCAGCGTACTTAAACAGCTATGGAACTATGCGTATATCTGGAATAGTTCATTTCTGCGTGGGACAAACCGAGACTATACGTGTGTTCAACAGAAGAGATATATCACGGAATAGTTTTGGAAAACTGAAAATCATATCATTCGGGAAACTACCCTTGTGCTTGAAACAAAGGTTTTAATCAGTGTACACCCAGTTTCCAGTGCTAACCTACGGATGCAAAACGTTGGCCCGACGCATTAAAGCAAATTATGCACTGCAGATTAGGAACACATCATATTATAACAAGAAAAGATATGAAAACAGATCAATGGATAAGAGCACAAACAAGTCTACGATGTCCTTATTCGAATGAATAAGCGGAAATGGGCAGAAGACGTTGCAAGAAAAACTGAGAGAATAAGTGGCCCAAACGATTGCAAACCTACAGATCGATGGCAGAATCAGTTGAAGAAGTTCACAAGATGAAGATGGATAAAACTGGCAGATAACGGAATTTTACGGAAAAGTTTTTGCACAATTATTTTCAAAAATAAAAACCTGCAGAACAGATGCTTTTTAACAGAACGCAACTGATAATCCGGTCACAAACAGCCGGGGCCTATATATCTACTGTCGTCATTTCGCATCTTCTTCAACAGGTGACTTCGGTTTCATGTACGAACATACACGAAACAGCCAGCACGCCTCTGTTGTGACTTACTGGCAAAGGCGATAATGTACAGCTAATAAATAAGGTTCCGGTGAATTAAAAACACACCAGTCCTGCTCAATCAAGAAATACTGTTTTAATAGTTATTAGAAAAAACATAATTCTGTTAAAGATTACAGAAACGCAGAAAGGCACAAATCATTACTAAACAGTATTTTTCAGCATATGCCGATACTTAAAAAGTTACGATCGACAAAAAATCTCATACTTCTACAACATCGACATCATCATGATCATCATGTTATCTAAAATACTCGCTCGTTTGCAACATAAACTTCTAACCAAAACGTACAACAAAAAGGGATAATTACGATCGAATGAGAATGAAAGAACTAGAAGCCAAATGGCGCAAATATTTCTTTCAAATGCAATGAAGAACAATCGTTACGTGCCAACAATCGCGCGCGTAAGCACAACAATGTTGAAGAAAATTCAACAGGTACAACACAAAGAGTGATATCAGTATATAAGAAATAATAACAGATCCAGAACATTTACTGAAAAGTTGTAATGAAAGGCGACGACGCTAAACACAGGCGCCTACACACCAAAGCGTCGTTGCACAATCGTAATGCATTCTGATGGCCCCGACATTCGAACATACAGAACAAAACGACGTAGAGAACAGTGGGGTTGATTCTCCGCTGAAAGAACAAGAATCGAACCCCGACTTTCTCCTGCACAATCCCAATATAAAAAAAACATAGAAGAAAGACTAACAGCTTTTTAACTGGAATGGATTTTCAACGACACTATTCTTAATCGGAAACGTTACACATTACAGTACATTCGTAAGCGGCCATGTTACAGCGTTCGTGTTTTGAATTCTCGACGGTTGAAACGAAGAAGAACAACTGCACGGCAAGAAGAAAAGAAAGAAGAGAAAAAATAGAAGCAGACGAAAAAAGAACGTCAACCGTCAGCGGTCAGTGTGATACGACGCTCTGGCGATTTGCAACGAATGTTGAGGACACAGAAGGACATACAGTAATAGTAGTGCGATAGGTTTACACATGAACGAAAGAAAATCAACGATGATAAGATGAGGGTAAAAGAAAAAGAAGAAAAAGCCCGTGAGGAAAGTGAATAGTAAATCGCAATAGTAAATCATCATTCATTAAACCATGTTCTCAAACTGATCTATTCTTCGTTGGGTATTGCCCGATCTGATTTGCCGAAGAGTCTTGTACTTGTCGCGACCGACTCGTTTGTTTTCCATGTGCAATACGTCGTACTGCGTTATTTTGTTTTGGTCGCGCATCGTTTCCAAATCAGCGTTCAGAGCCTAAAGAAATGAATTACGTTTCATCGTTGCTACATTTCAATAATAGGCAAATAATCACTTAACTTAACGGAAACCGAGATTCAGACAACTTTAAACCAAAGTACAACACACAGACAGAGTTTAAAATGTTACGTGGTAAGTAATTCTAATACAAAAGATCTAGGTTAGACAAAAAGTTGAAGCACATGTAACAGCTTTAAAGAACTGGAAAACGGAGAACTCTGGCATCGTCTCCGAAGCCTTC